CTACAAATTCAAAACAGGAATTTGCAGAAATACTAAAAATTTGCATGTCCTACTTTGGGATGCGGGAGTTTTACTGGGATGTAAAAACGTGACAGTTAGTGACACAGACCTCAGGCTATCTGAACATCAGCTTTATTAGGCCACAGCTGAGAATCTGAGAGCCAAAGTGACATGTTTTAGGAGCAAATTGGAAAAGATTGCATCACTTTAATGTGCTTCAGACAGACTTCTTTTTGGTTCTAAAAGTCAAAGGTCAAAGCATGAGGGTTGGAATTTTGCATACAGTGAATATTTCCAACATCCAGACACCACTAATCTGCTGTCTGCCATAAATTCTACTTTTACAAAGCATCTACATTTTTAGTTTTGCTTGATGTCAAAAAGGTTATGGCTCTCCTTTATCACTGAGTCAGAGAGGGAGGTGGTGCACTGAGCTGCATTCCATTTAAACGTGTTGCTAATATTTTGTGATTTACATACATGAGGGGGGGCAAAATATTATAGGAACCCCTTTAAAATGTAACGTAGTCCAGTTCACTGCTGCCTTTTGGAAATCAACACAAGCTGATTATATAGCAGCTTCAGGATTTATGGCATCGGGTAACATTAGACTTCACAAGTGCACCTAAAAAAGAGGTGAAAATGTATAATATGTCAATACATTTTGCATAATATTTAAATGTTATCTTTTTGTTTTTTTGCCCGTTTATGATTTTTTTCCAACCAAAACAAAGTGTGCATTGATTTAATTCTTTGTGATGAAGCCATTGGGTGCCGAACGATCCCTGAGCGATCGATAGCGGTCAACATGTGACATTTTGCAGGGCGACTGTTGTGATTACAAGTTCATTCATTTAACCGGCGCTCTTCGGAGGAAGCAGCGAGCTCCAGCAGGTGACTCCCTCGCTGTGCACAGCGCCTGCTTCTCCACGGCGGAGACAGTTTCCTCACCAACTTACCTTTTTATTGTCACCGATCATCCTTAACTGGGAAGCATTTAAAATGTCATTGATCTTGATAATGCTGTGCCGTTATATGACAGTAACAGTTGTATGAGATTCAGGAAGTCAAATTTCCAAGATTGATGAGTCGTAGCAGTTGAGTTATAATCCATCTACCTGAGTGATGCTCAGGCTCTGTTCCACATGAAGGAGCAGACAAATAAATAAAACCCATAAAGGTGACACAGGAAATTGATACTTAACAATCATCTTGAGCAACAAGCACCAGGAGAGACTGGTGGGCAGCAGTTACTACTGTGCAGGGAGAAAGGCTGAGAAGGTTAATAGGTCATAAAAAGAACAAAACCTCCTAAAGGCCAGGCATAAAAGTTTAGGGTTTCACTCCACAACGGACCAAAGTTTTGTATGTGCCAGCCACTTCTGGGACGGTTTCTCCTCAATGATTTTTAAAATTCTTATCATTTCAAAAGGAAAACTGAACATTAGTCCCAGTTTGGTCATTATCTTGAATATTATGTTCATCCAAATTATTTTATAACACTAGATGTTGAGTCATGGCCCATAAAGCTGTGTGAAAAAAACTACAATGGCGGATAATTTGAAGGCTTTGTTTAGTAAAACTGTAATTCACAGCAGTCTCCTAATTACGTTGTACTGTGGAAACAGTTCATAGGACTCTGTTGGTGTTTTTTTCCTGCAGTTATTTTATTTTTTTTTGCCAAATCATTTTTATTTCCAGTCCAGCACACTCTGGTTTATCCTCCCAAACATTTTCTGGCAACTTTTCTCCATTCGTGGGTGGTATTTTTTCCATTTTTCCCTGTCTGGAGTCCACTAATGAGTCACAAATAAAGTACAAAAAAAACTGCAAACTCAGCATGTTTTGTCAAACACTTGTTTTTTTTTAAACAAAATACCACATTTGCAACAAATTATAAATTACCACAAATGGAAAGCATACAACATGATAAAAAAAAAAAAAAAAGTGCTTTAGCAATTTCTTTTTAATCCATCTGTATGAATATAAACGTCATCAGATAGCACAGATCTGTATTGAAACATGGAGATTCAACCTATGCAGCCAAAAATAGTCGGTGAATAAATAATATTGTTCTGTAGAGGAGTGCTGTGACTTACTTTCAATCTATTTCATGCATAATTTGTGTGTCTTGTAGCTTTTGTCTGTACTGTACATAAACACATTCAGTCACATCTGTCTTCCATGTTTATTATATCTACACTCTGCTGTTTCATGACACAATAAGACCTGCATCAGCATCATATTAATGTTGTTCAAGAGATAAAAACCCTCATGCTGTTGTTGTTGTTCTCATTTGTTTATTTCTTGGTAAGAGTCCACCAAGCTGAGCTTTTGATCTGAGTTCATAAATAATTAAGTCGGGCCATAAACTGGATTTATGCTCAGGTTACAGGTCTCCCTTTAAACACCGTCTGCAGGAACTTTATGTTGTGTATGTTTTCATAGAGAGATTTGGATTTTTTATTTTATTTTTTTCATCTTTATGTGATGATTTGTTGAGCAAAATGTGGACATATTAACTACCTAAATGATAAAGAAATAAATATGAAACTGAGGCCACAGGATTCAAACATTTTTCAAGCTTTTGGAGGATTTTGTTTACAAAAGCTGCAAAGTCAGCAACTTTTTGGCTTTAATAAGTGATATAAATGTGTGGATGTATGATGTGTGGTGCAGGAGGTAAACACAGGAACAGTAAATGAAGATTAAACTCAGATTAAAAGCTCCTAAAAGGGAGTTTAGATGGTTTGCGTGTCTGTGTCCCTCGTGGTTTAGGAGCCTCTGATTCAGGCCACCAGCCTGTTTATTGGCATATACACCAATAAGTACATGGGCTGACACATGGACATTTATTATCATCATCATTTCTCTGCTCTGATAGTGATCCCCATATAATGAATGGAATTACCACTTCATAATATAAGACTCAAGTGTAGCAAAATGACAAGCTTCTGGCTTTACGTTGGTTGAATGCGGGAGCAGATCCTTTGTAAGGGGAATTAAAGCGGCGCGTCTTTGTTAAGCACAGAGCAGTTTTGTTTTCACGGCAGCTTAAGAAAAGTCTTGATGCACGGAGCATTTTTCAAGTCTAACCCCAAAATCAGTTTCACAACAGCTGCAAATGGGACAGTCGAACATCAGTCACTGTAAAAGACATAATGCAAAAATTTTGAAATTAATGATGGACCGTAACCAAAGCTGGTTTCATGGCACCACTGCTGGCATCATTTATCACTTCAAAGATCTACTTAATGCAAAGCCAGGAATTTTTTTGGGGAAAAAAAAAACGTGTGAGGATTTTTTGGCTTTGCAGATCCTCCCCCCCACCCACAAACACATGTCATCAACCAGGGCAGAGGAGTCAAGTGAGTAAAAAGGATATAATGACTTTAGCTGCTAACTAGGAGCGACGCAGTAGGAGAACAACTGGCTAACCTAATGTTGCAGTGGAAGCAGACTGTTCTGCCTCGCAGTGGGGCCCTTGGGGGGGGGGCGAGGCTTTCCTTGACCTCTGGGGATCCCCCCTTGACCCCATCCACAGAATTACTGCACTCCAGTGTGTGGATCCTCCTGGCTTTTAGTGTCTGGAAGGAGAATGTGTTGAGGAACCAGAGGTAAAGGTCCTATTGAGCCTCGGCACCATTAAAACCATAAATCACCCGGCATATGCAAGAATCTCAGGAATCCAACACTGTCTCTGCTTTTTTCCTTCCTCACAATCCCCCTTCTTTCTGTGCAAAGCGAACATATTTTTCTGGGGAGAACTTTTTTTTTTTCTTTCTTTGTCTCTTTCTCTCTCTCTCTCTCTCTTGCCCTTTATTACTTTCCCCCTAAATTACCCAGCTGTCACCACCTCTTTGATACAGATGTGGTGTAGACCTAACTTTATTTGATTCAAAATGTTCACAGAGTTATAGTCGCTATATAGCTCCCCTGACACCTACTGAGACCTGCCGCAAATGGTGTCAAATATTTACCAAATGACAGCTGATCCAGAGACTGATTAAGTAATGAATTAGGGGCAGGAAGTCATTCTATCCAGGACCACTAGGGGATCAACTTCCTCATTACCCCCCTCCTCCTCCTCTTCAACCATTTCATAGTTGTCAGTAGTCCTCTGTGACAGCTCATTTACAGTAAGGCCACTGATATAAAACTGTCAGCGTGCTCCAAATTTGTGTGCAGTTTTGTTTAGAATACTGATACCGGGGCTCACATTATCAAGTGTGAGGGAAGGTTCGCTCCTTCATCAGCTCGCTGTCTGTCTGTGACATGTAAAACTGTCGAGACCCAGGAGAACACGTGACCCACTTATGTCAAATAAACGCACGACGCCCCCCTTTCTTTTTTGCTCAGCGGGGATCCAAAATTTTGAAATCAAATATAGCAAAAGAAAAATGTCCATGACACAGTTTACATCTGAGGATCCAAATGTCACGATGACACAGTGGAGGCCAGCAAGAACAAAAAAACTCATCTCATTGTTCTTTAAGATAATATGCTGTCATTAGTGAGTGAACTGCATTGGTCTCTCGTGGCCCCGTGGCACGTTTGAAGGGCTTCTACGCTACACAGCTAACATGCCCCCCGAGAGGGAGGCCAGCCCCAACTTGCAGCACTACAATTTGACTGTTGAAAAGGCGAGGGCTGGGGAAGGAGGAGGCAGGAGATCTTGTCATGGTGCCCAGTGGGTTCAGAGCTTGTGGTTGGAGAGCTGGAAAGACTGCCATGTCTCGTTTGATTAATGGAGGGGGGACCCAGAGGCAGGAGCGAGGGAGAGTCTTATGTGGCAAGATTGTGCAACTTGAATGCACAATACTGGAGAGTTTTCAATGAATGTGAAGCATGCCTTAATGTGATTACAGAATCTTGCTTTTTTTTTTTTTTTCCACATTTGGGATCAACTCCAGGAATCTTTAATCAAAAAAATGCTGCAGGAAAAAAAAAAAAAAAGTAATTGCAATCAGGGATGGATAGGGTAAACATGGCACGAGAGCTACAGTTTTCCCAAATGCATTTATTAAGCATGTACAGTACGTGACATCTCAATTAATCAAGAGCAGTATCAAAGACTTATCCTTTAATGGCTTTAACAAAAATATAACATCATTCAATATGAACATTATTCTGCCCGTTTCACAGATTTTACACAAATGACCTATTTACAGTAGCTAATGAAAAGAGCCCTAATGTGACACTTAAAACGATGACAACCACTTAACAATAATCTGACAACAGAGGGAAATAGAAAAATTCACTCAGAGTCTGAACCCCACATGCATTAAACATGCAATAATACAAATGTTACACCCACAAAATTACAGCAAAAAAAAACCAAAACATGTAACTATTATTGGCTCCAGCGTCCTGTGCATGCCGTACAATGTGAGAAGACCTGCAGTCTGCGGTCACCGCGCCTGAGAAACACAAATGATAGCTCTTCTTTAATTAAGACGTGTTCATATAGTTTAATTAAAATGGCGAAAAGGTGTGTTAGGGGGGGTTTCAACCCGGGGATGCCGATCAGACACCCTCCAGCTTTTCATAAGTAAGAGAAACTAGATGTATCATTGAGATTTTGATGAGCACGGGAGGGGATGGCTGTTATGAGGCCCTAGGGCCAGTTTGAAATGCCAGGATGGTGATGACTATCTGCGCCCGTACAGGAGGGAGGTGCAACAGATGGAAGAGTGCAGTTCAGATGGGGCAGGTCTGCAGGGTGAAAGCTCTGACCGCTGCTGCTGTCGCTAAAAGCCCCAAAGAGGGACGACATGGAGGCGTAATCCAGGTCTGAGGAGGAGGAGGAGGAGGTTCTGACAACACACGGAAACCTCAGGTGGTCCGCATAAGAGTTCAGGCTGGAGGACGGATTGTAAGGAGAACCCTGTGACAAACCTGTCGCCTTTCCGTACCTGTGCTCCCTCTTGTACCTCATCCTGCGGTTCTGAAACCAGATCTTAACCTGGCGGTCGGTGAGCTGCAGCCCGGCGGCCATCTCCATCCTGCGGGGGCGGCACAGGTAAGGGCTGAAGTGGAACTCCTTCTCCAGCTCCAGCAGCTGGTTGTTAGTGAAGGCTGTTCTCTCCCTCTTCGCACTCTGCCTTCCACCGCCCGATAGACCCGCTGCCACGCCGCCGCTGACTGATGATGGAGGAAGCACATAAAGAAGAGAAGGCGTTAAAAGGAAGTGCCACACATCTAACAGTTCTATCCCTGAAATGTACGAGCTCCACATGGAAGCTTTCAAAGTGCCGGTGAGGCCCCTTGTTAATCCTTAAGCCAATCAACCCGAGACCAAGCAGAGCCCTCAGCTCTTCCTGTGTATTCAGTCATGCTTGAGACACTATACAAGACCGGCTGTCTACTGTGTCATGTGTTCAGGGGAAAGTTACCTCCCGAAGAAGCAGTCTGGGGGAAACTGACGCCACTACGGCTGCCTGACAGGCCACATTAATCAGAGCTACACACAGAAGCAGACCTGTCAAATCCCCATCTCAGTCACTTAAAAGGTACCTTGGGACCACCACTGAAAATAACCACCATTAGGGATTCAATTTGACATGTATATGAGCAGTACCAGGGCCCTGTTGATAACAACATGACATACAGGGGTTAATGGATACTTAATAAGACCTGTAATGACCTCAGAGAGAGAACTGCCCTCTTTAATAAAACTCCACTACACTGGGAGGATGCCTGCTTGTGTGCTAGCATGTTTGCATCGAGGCAGCAGTGTTTACATGTTTCTGTGAAGAAATTATAGCAATATTAGCAAATTAAATAAGCAATGGAGGTTATTAGAACATGTGTTCTACTACATATATAATTGTATTTGTATTAATTCCTCTTCCTGTAGTGATCTTCTTTTACTTTTGTAAAATTCACGCAGATACTTTGTGAATTTATATATTTGTTTTGTAGGGTCACAACCAAAGTCCATAATTATTGAGGTTAGTCTCTATAATTATTGATGCTGCTGGGACTTTCCTTAAGAATTTAGACTGAAAATAAACATACATATTTAGATTTTTCATTAAAGCATCACAAATATATATTCAGTAGATGAGTTACAGCATAACTGAGTTATTTTCTTACTGTGTTAACAAATGCCAGAGTGCAAATGATGATAAAATAAACTGCAAAAGTGCTGCAGTTATTCTGTTTTGAACATTTTCTTGCATCACCTGTATGCTATGAATTTGACCCTGACATGTGTTTAACAGTGTGCAGCATTAACACTCTCACAAACTGAGGAGAAACAGCTTCTACATCTGATCAAAGTTCTGAAGCCCCAGATAAAAGGAATGCAGGTGACTTCTACTGTTGCATTACAGCCCAAACAAGTTGCAACAACACCAGTGTTCAAATTACACATTCAGTGCACAAATGAGGGTCATTCGCGGAGCATCGGTGCATGAAGTTTGTGTCACAAATATTTTTGCACACTCAGTTGCAATTTAAAAAAACTAAATGAATAATATAATGAACAAAAGTGGTTACCAGATTGTTCAGAGCCAGTTGTCCGTGGATTCATCCAGGGGAAAATGACTCCTGAGCGGCAGATGGTGAGTAGGCTGCAGCTCCTGCTCTTGATGTCCAGCTTGCCCTTGGCATGGCAGTGAACCACGGGCTCCAGTGGGCACTCAGACTGTTCATCTGGGTTCAACCTGGAACTGACACCAGCAGAGGAGGTCATGTTTTGCTGATTAAGTTCTGTTTCTTGGCCTCCTCCTCCTCTTCCTCCTCCTCCTCCTCCTCCTCCTTCATTGTATCCCGCGTTTAGTTTTGGCTCTTGTCCAGAGCTCATAGCAAAACTGTTGCCATGCAGCTGCAGAGGGAGGGCAGACTGTTGGGGGTCCATGGACCCAGCTCATCAAACTGTCTCAAATAAAAAA